ACCCCCCCCCCACACATGACACGAAACACCCCCAACCTCCCAAAGTCAATCTAGTGCCGAACCAACTCACAACTATGTATTACGTGACATAGGGCCCCTAATCCGATCAGCGGTAAAATACACATCACTGCTCTGCACGCCGAAACTGGTATTGGGGGCCCCCAAGGCCCCCCCCCCAGCCAAACAACCAACCTCCCCCGTGTGTATGCAAGCACAAACCTACCCCCAAAATACACACAGATACAGACACATACATACACACGAACACCTTCACACACACCCTACCTTGTGCACCAGCACAGTCCCCGCCAGCCCCCTCCGCCCCGTCAGCGGAGAGGGGCTGTCAATGGCCACGTCGTCACCCACCACAACCAACTCAACGAGCAAACCCTCCGATAACGCCTGCTCGATGGCTAGACCAAAGTTGAGGCGGTCGCCTGTGTGCGGCGTACACATACACATTGGGATGAGGACGGGAAGTTGGGGGGAACTGGGGGGGAACTGGGGGGGAAGTTGGGGGGAAGTGGTGTGTGTATGGAGTGCGCATATAAAGCAGTTCCCAAAGAACGGAAATGATGCAAGTGGCTTATCACGATCGTTGATCCCCGCTCTAGACCTGCGTGTAGCCATGTGTGTGTGTGCGTGCGTATGTATGTGTGTACCCGGGTGCATGTGCCATCACGGGGTCTGCATAACCCCTAAACCCGCCTTTCCCCCCCTTTCCCACTTCAATCCCCCCCGCCCCTCCCCAACCCCCTCCTCCGAAACCAACCCGTGTAGTTCTTCACGATCAACAGACAGCCCGGGGGCCCGGTCACCGCCCGAATGGCCGCCAGGACCGCCTCCGTGGAGGGGGACTGGGGGGAGGGGGAGGGAGGGGGGGGAAAGACGAACCAAGAACGAGTGAAGCTGCTGCCAAGTAAAAAGTGTACCAGAAGCAGAACTGACCAGTAGGCGTTCCTGGAGGCGGCGTCCCCGGGATGATGTAATGAAGATGACCGCGGAAACCTACCTACCCACCTAGCCGCCAAGACTAAAGTAAGCGCGGAAGAAAAGCAGTAGAAGGAAGCCGTAAAGAAGTAAAGGTAGGTATAGAGGCGGCGGAGAAGTAGTAAAAAATTGCTGAGGTGAAGCTGGAATAGAGTTTGCCGCCGGCCTGGCGGCGGCATTGACGAGGTTTGGCGAAGAACTGGCTGATTAGCTGGTAATAAAATGCTGGTGGTATGCAAGTGCTCCTCCCACCCCACCCCCCAAAACACGCGCGACCGACCCGACCGACCCAACTATCCTAGTCCGGCTAGCCGACCGACGCAACGCGATATACCGACAAAGCTCGAACCTCCTCTGACTCACCTGGCCAGGCAGTAGGAGCGGCGGGCAAGGGCACACGCGAGGCAGAGAGGTAGCAATGTTGTGAGCAGGGTGCGATGAAAAGGGGGGGGACGGGGGGAGGGGGAGTTAAGGGTTAAGGGCTGCGTTGCGGGATGGGGTTTTGCGGGTTAGTGGGGTCAGCGGCGGGAACCCCCTCTCCGCCCAGCCCTCTACCCTGACCCATGGGTCACTACCCACCAGGACGGGAGCCTCAAATTGTACGATTATAACGGGTCTGATGGTGCAGCGACGGAAGTTCCGGAATCTAACCCCGAAACTACCATGGATACACTCACTTACATAAATACATACAGATACACACAGGCCAATGTCAGGCCGTGCACATACACGTACATACCTACCAGGAAATCCTATCGCTTTGCAGGACTGGCTACTTGCTTCGGTTAAGGTACCTTGCACCTCTTTTATCCTCGCAAACTCCCGCCCACCCAGCTCGACCATCAAAACACACACGGTCACCCCCCTCCCCACCCCCGCTCCTCCCCTCACCGCGAAGATATCCCCGCACACCGCCGCCGCCAACATCCCCTCCCCCACATACCCCGCATGCGCGGGCTCATGGCCACTGCCCCCCCCTGGAGAGGACCCCCGAGGGGGAGGGGGGAGATGCGTGTGCGTGTGTGTATTGGCCGGGGGGAGGGAGAAGAGGGGAGAGGGGGCCGAAAAAGGTGGAGAGGGGAGAGGGACACGATGCTGTCAATGCGATGAGGCAAACCGCGGGGCGGGGGGGAAAGGGTCGGGGATATGTGTGTGGTATGTGTATGTGTGTGGAGGGGAGATGGAGGGCGCGAAGAGAGGAGAGAAGTGAGGGGTTGTTACAATGGGTTTGGATTCGTTGATGTAGTACATAGTATAGCAATATAGCAGACCTTTAGGAGCAGAAGACCCTGTCTAGTCTGATCTGGTGACACTACTGCGAGATGCGGTCTAAGGCCCTGGGTTCGATTCCTGGCCCTCGACATTGTCGTTAAGTGGTAACTGAGCAACTAGACGTAGCTAGCTGCTGAGATGTGAGTTGATGGACCGAGATTCGCACGCTGGATTGGTGGCGATTGCTGAACCCTCCGTCTCTTCGGGTGAAAGGATGAGGAGGGTGGTTTCTGGAAGGCGGAATCAACTGCCTTGCCTTGCAACTACGAACACTACTCCCTACGAACAAGGAGGCAACCACTGTACTTGCAATTCTTATGGTGGATGGCGCTGTATGGTGTTCAATCCTACATGACAATCCAAATGTGTATATGATAACTAAGAGATATACATGTATGTGTGTTTGTTTCAAAAACCTAAGGTTTAGTATGTGATAACTAATATATACATACATACATACATACATACATACATACATACATACATACATACATACATACATACATACATACATACATACATACATACACATGTACGTGTGTGTATATACACTATGTAATATTACATACAATATTACATAATATACGTACATTCATATACAATTAAAATATTATAATATAACATAATAAAATATATTTGAACATAAATAAATTACATAATTTAATAGATATGTTCAAACGGCCAAGAGTAAAACGGATACTCCAGGATTACACAGATGCTGCAGAAGATTGTAACCAGCAACCAGCAACCAGCAGTGACTTGACGGAAGCAGTCACCGCGGCGAGGTGCCCAGCTAGCTAGCTAGCTAGGTTGCGAACGCGTACCTAGCTAGCTGACGGCGGGGATGAAAAACTAGAACACGGGGGAATAAGGAGATACAAAGAAGTAATGATAGCAATAATGAAAGAAGGGAAAAAACAAAGTCATGACCGGGGGCCGCACCCGCACCCGAACTCCTCGTGAAACTACCTGCCGTACATGCCGCACCCCTCCACTCTCTTCCCCCTAGCCCCCCTTCCCCCACACCCGCATCACCCGCCTGATATCACAGCTACTTTGCTTTTGTCGTGGTTTCTGTTGATGACCACCTTAATCTGGGGAAGGTGACAAGCGAGGAGGGGAGGGGAGGGGAGGGGAGGCGGGCGGGAGGGGAGGAGAAACGCACGGTGTCGCGGTGTGTGGTGGACGAGATGGTAAGGGGGATGATAAGGGGGTCGGAGGGGAGATCGTACGCGAGTGGGTCGTACGAATGCGCAGCTGTGACGGGATGCACGTGTACGCGTGTGTACACTGTAAAGGGTGGAGGCTGTCTAGGAGACGTTTTCCGGGGCTGTGGGATATTGGATATGACAGGTTTAGCCGCCAGACGGCGGCGGCATAACACTGCAAATAAATCTAACTTTTAGACAGGAGGCAGGAGGAAAAACGCACACGGGGAAGTGGGCCCCAGCCCACGCGAGCGTAAAGGGAGGTGCTGACGAAATCGGGATTATCATTTTATGGAGCAATTTGAAAGCTAGAGGTGTCCTGCTCGTTTCCAGACGTTCAAGTCATGCCGGTAGGCATGAGCGCGTCGTTAGAGACCTGCGGTGATCCCTCCAGGCGCTGAAGGTGGCCATATGTGAGAGCGAGACCCTTGAGCGCATCCACCACGGCCGTTTCGGGACTGTTCAACAGCTTCTTGCCAGTCGTCATTCTTGCGAGGCCCTGCCAGCGACAGAGCGCCTTCAGCAACCGTTCAGAAGCTTACACCGCATCATTAGAACCTGGATAAGTTGACATTTACAAAGCCATTACGCGATAGGGATGTTCTGCCTATGGACAGAGTTTCGGAGCACGACGTCGTAGCATCTATTTCAGTCGGCCCAAGATGTTTTAACTTTATGATTGGCCAATCATTTCCTGGAATATGCTAACAAGCCGGATCTGTTATGTGGTGTTACAAGCCCGCGAGAGCTCGGCGAGCCAGGAGGCTCATGGACCGCGAGTTCTAGCGTAGGCAAAAGTAAGGAAAAAAGCAATAAGTGAAAGAAAAAAGAAGAAAAAGGAGATTATAAACCCCATCTGCGAGAGAAATTAGTAACTAGAGTACGCGACCTCAGACTTACTACTCGGCTATCAGCGTGCGTCGCCTCATCGAGATGTTGTGTGTGATGTGCACAAGTCCGCGCTGATCGTCCACCTCCGTGACAACAGCACGTGAAACTCATCTTCTACTGTTTTTTATTCATGCAGACCCGACACCGCTCTTTGCGCGACCGACCGCCGGTTCGGTTAACCCCCAAAGGTCACGCCCCTAAGCGAAACCGCAGCAGTGACAAGTATGACTTCGCAGGGGGTAGCACGTCGTGTGCTTCGGTGCTCCCATCCAATGGGCATGCCGGCACATCTGAACCCCTTTCATCCCGCTTGCTTAGACAATCTACTGGTATCGAAAACGCAAACATTTGTGGGCTACCGCCGGGTGCCGCCCACCGCGGCGCGGCCGCTAGAGCTCGCTGCCCCGCACTAAACAGCTCATCAGTGCAGGATTCGAACGAGGCATCCGGCCCGTAATGAAGCCCTAAATACCCTGCCCAGCCAACCCACGGCATCTCTTTAAATGCACAGTGTTCCCCATGTACAAACGTAGGGGAACCCGCGCTGCATCCTCATCCCTAGGAACAGTCGCGCCATCGTTGAACAAGTCCCTGAAGTACCCGCTCCAACTGTCAAGATCCGCCACAGGACACTCCCCCTAATAGACGAGTTAATTTTAACTGCCAAAAAAATCAGATTTTGCCTTCTGGTCCATGGGTAAACTTTCAGCCCGCATCCGTGCTTTGTGCGACAACAACATAGGCGAGCAAGCTTCTGCACATCCGCTCGTCCACCGGGGGGTGTCAGTCATTCTGTTTCCACGAGTGCGTGTTTGTGCGCGCCACCTACCGTAGGCTCTTGCAACAACTCCTGTAAGCTCAGCACTCCGAACAGCCACCACCTGAAGGGAAACCAGCTGGCCCCACCCAAACGACCCATTGCCTCTAAAATGCGCTGGAGATGGTTGGTGCGTCATATTAAGCAAAGTGGTGTGCATAGTATTGCCAATGCTTAACATCGAAATGTACTCTACCTTCCTGCCGTCCGCCGGGATTTCCTGGCCCCGTGTGGACATACAGGTGCAACAGCACTGGACAGTGATCACCGAGCAACTCTCCTGCCCTATTACCTGTTGATGCCAGGGGAGTCTCCCTCTAAACCATCCAGGCTAGTCGCTTTGATGTGAAGTGAAGGCGGGGAGATATGGAGAGATCCATTAATCATCCTTTCAGGCTTGGTGGTATCTATCCTGTAGGGCTATGTTGGGCATATCACGGGGTCTGCATCCGCCGATCGTTATTTCCCTGAAGTCCTGCCTTTCCCCCCCCCGTGGTGGTGCCACCCTTGTGCCGAAAAGCGGGCTCGCCTTCCCTTCGAGGTCCCCTTCGAGGCCCATTTGAACACGAGGGCCCATTTCGAATCACTACTTCCAATTCTCTGCAGCGATCTGCCAGCGCCCTGCTCCCACTGCAGCGCCTTGAGAGCTCGATCGCTGATCCGTTACATCTTGTGTGCTATCCTGCGCTTTACCCGAACACAGCCACTCCCTCGTAGCGAACGGCACCAGCAGCGGTAATCGACTTAGATCCTTGAGGCAGCAGTTGCCTTCAAACCATCATCACCCACGAAATGCGTTTCAGTAATGACAAATACGTCATATTGTGAGGCGAGAGCTGTGACAACCCATTACGCTCCAGCTTCCTTGTTTTCATACCTCTGACATTCCACTGCGCAATGTGTTGTGGCACTGCCTCCTGGCTCTCGCGCCTCCCGACACTCCTCCTCCCTCTTGCACCTCGGGTGTAGTGCCGTGTGGGGGCCCACCACCCGCTCCCACAGCCCAGCCCACTCCACACGCTGCTCCGCCTGTTCCACCGCCACCAGCGCCAACCGCATCCCATGGTCCCAGATTGGTACAGACGCGCTTGCCGCTCGTGTTCATATAGCTTGCGTCACTACCCTGTTTTCCCATCGGGGCCACTTGTTCTGCTCACAGCGCTGTGTGTACGCGGGGGGGTACCGCCACCGCGCCGCATCTCCACCCCAGCACGAGTCAGGGCATCCTTCATCGTGATGTCATATGTGCGGTAAAGTGGTGAAGTGCACCGCCGCGAGCTGCCAGCGCTTTCCGACTCGTCAGCACAATGTGGACATCGACGAGCGGAGTCCCAGGTCCCCGGCCCCCCCCGGACCGTTCACCCGGGCAGTCCCCCCGCTGCAGCAAGCCGGGGGCCAGCATGTCGAAGGAGACCTTGGCCCCCGGGCGGGAGGGCGGAAGTGTCTCCTCCAAAAATGCTCGCGGTCGTAGCAACGCTGTCCGCGGGCAGCAGCACGACCACGCGGCCAGAATGGGTTCCGGCTGTGGTCGGGAAGCGTCCTGCTCCTCTGTCGTACCGGGACGCTGAACATCCCGTAGCTCTCGTAGCCATGAGGGGGCCATGATGGCGGCGATGAATGACCACCAGTACATCGATGTACTTGAAGTCAGGTAGTCCAGTAGAGGCGAGACATGTAGGATCTGAGGCATCACCTCAGGAGACGGTGCCCGAGAGGTCTCATCAGATATACAAGGTGCTTTCATCGCCTGAGGGCCACTAGAATCTCCCACCCCTCCATTTCTGTCCCCCCACCCCACCCCCTGGACGCGCCCTGATGACGCTGCGTGTCGGTCTGGGAGAAGCAGCGCTCTCCTCTCGGGGCTCGGGGTCGGGGTCGTGACGGCGGGAAGGCGGGAAGGCGGGTGGGGGGAGGGCCCTCGCGTGACGGTGTGTTACAGGAAGTACACATACATAAACATGAACACACACCGAATGCAGGTGCATGGAAGAACAGCTTTTGTTTTTTCTTCATTCAGTATTGCAAGGGGGAGCAGCTGTGTGTGTTCATCCACAGATATACACATACACACATACATACACATGTACATATACGCGCGCATGTGGACACATACACACATTGTACACTTTTCAAGGTGGCCCAATAAGAACCAGAAGATGACCGGACAGACAAACAGACATACTGCCAAATGGACAGAGGCAGGAAAGAAAGGTTTGGATAGTGATGAATTCTCCATAGCCATTTACACCCTTTCATCCTGTTCTGTACATAGTACATACCTACGTACGTACATACGTACATACACATCCACGCGGGGTCTGGGAGGGGAGCGGGCGGAGGACAACGATACCGCACCACCCTCGAGCGCTTTGTGGCGCCATCATCAGGCATACATATACGAGATGTAAACGTCAGACGCACGCATAAACAACCAAACGCCTGACGGGGCCGCAGAAAGGGCCATGTCCCCAAAAAAACACCGACTACACCCAAATCCAATTCCAATTCCAATTCCAATTCCAATTCCAATTTCAAACTCAGATCCAAACCCTAAGAGATCCGCGCCATCACTATCTTCCCATATCTCACCCGGGGGGGCGGGAAATACTTCTCGTACAGCCAATTACGGGCGGCCCCCTCACCCCCCCGGGGAAAGGGAGGCCAGGGGAAGGGGGGAAAGGGTTGCGACACTCACTGCAGCCATGTAGTTGAGTGCCGTACACTAAACCGGCCTCACAACCTTCCCTCGTTCGAGTAGCCAACCCCTCATCCCCCAACCCCCTTGTCGCTGCTACCGCCCCACTCGCATCCCCTCAAAACACATAACCACCAAAAACGACCGCCATCGGTCGTACGGTGGAATTAACTTTCAATAATAAATATCGTCCATGGCCCCCTCAGGCTTTGACAGACCCCCACCGCACTCGTGCGGAACTTGTAACATTCACAGCAAAATTTGTTTGTTCCAAAAATTCAAAAAATCTCAGATGGGGCTATACGAGGCATTTTTCCCCTCCCTCCCCTCCCAAGTGCCATCAGGGTTCCTATCAGGCGCTGTTCTTCTGTGTGTGTTTGTGTGTGGGTCAGGAAGGGAGTGAAGGAGCGATGCCGCACGAAGGAAAAATGACGAGTCTCATCGTCATGCGCTGCCAAGTGCCGCCGTATAATCGGAAAGCCATTACGCATCCATTATGGATATACTCTTAATATGGATATCCGCACCTATCCTAAATACACACATCATCCGTAGAGCCATATCGCCAGATGGGCGCCTCCCTCGCCCTCTCCCTCCGGGAACATCACCCTCGAGGGGCCTTTCAATCGGTCGCCTAAGGCCCCCCCTCCTCCTCCTCCTCCCCCTCCTCCTCCTCCTTCACACACATACACACACACATGCAAACACATTGGCGCAGCAATAAGATCACCTTCGCGACCCTCGTAGCCATTTTACACTTACCTCCCTACTATTCCCCAGCCACGTACATGCATAAATAGATATCTTACATGTACATACATACATGAACACAAATGTCGCTTCCATCAAAATTTATGATCACAACCGCCCCTTCATCGGTGCGTGCGGGGGCGGCGGAGGGCCAAAAAGATCGGAGGAACTGGAATGTGTATGTATGAATGTATGTGTGTGTGAGAGAGAGAGAAAGGGATTGTGTGCGTGTAGAGGTGTGTGGGGTGTTGGGGCATCCACCCGTTTCCGCCGTACGACACCGTACACTCCACTTGACACAAAACATTAACGCACGGCAATACAGTCGCCAGTCGAATCATTACTCCTCTGCCGTACCGACACAGTACACAGCGATATTAATAATAATAAGAATACACTACCACTAGACCCGCCTCTCCGCCGTACGGACAAAACCATGCCCACCACCCTCGGAAGGGGGGTTCGAGCAATGTGGTATTTGTTGCAGGCGGTTGTGGTGGTTGCGGTGGGTTTGGTTGTTGGATTAAGTGCTCTTGTACGACAGGCTGTGTGGGTTGCCTGTTCGGTGGATTACCGTTAACAATTACGAGTTCAAATGCAGAGTGAAGGACGATGTGAGATTTCGGGGCGGGACATTCCGTTTTCACCCCTTCCACATTACCTCTCGTCCCCCCTTGGCTTCCGTGGGAATCGAAACCCGGCACGCTGGTCGCTGAAACCACGTGACACACCAACCGCCTTCGACGTGTATGTGTGGGTGTGGGCACACACGTCCTCGTGCCCGCACCATCATCGTCATCCGTACCATCCGTACCTCCTCAGCTTCACACCCCAGCGGTACACCACCAAACACAGCACCACCTCCCGCACCCGAACTCCCCGAACCAGCACCAACCACATAACTACCAACCTCATGACAACGATTAACCAACCAACTACCAGCCAACCACCTCAATCAGGGGACATATTGGAAGGGGCAGGGGGGAGGACGGGGAAAGCGGAGGTGCTGCCGCTGCCGTACACACCTCCCCCTCCCCCTCCAGCACCGTCGGTGTCGTCAGTATCGCCAGCGAAGGGCCTCGGGGTGTGGTGCTGGTCCTGCTGTTGATGTGACACGAGTGACAAGGCCGGAGGTGGAGGTGGAGGTGGAGGGGGGGCTGGAGTCGCAGTCATGACCGCCGTGACGGTGGGGGTGGGGGTGGGGGTGGGGAGGGTTTGAC